AGTGATGAAAAGCAAGGACCAACAACCAAGATTACTCTATCCTGCAAAGCTTTCATTTAGAATCAAAGGACAGAGAAAGAGCTTCCCAGACAAGAAAAAGCTAAAGGAGTTCATCACCACCAAATGGTAAAGGGTCTTCCTTAAGAAGAAAAAGAGAAAAAAAGATTAAAAACACGAACAAGAAAATGGCTATAAATATATACCTATCAGCAATTGAATCTAAAAAAGATAAACAAAGTAAATGAACAAACAGAACAGAAACAGACTCACAGTTACAGAGAATATTTTGTTGGCTGCCAGATGGGAGGGGGGTTGGGCAGATGGGAGAAGGGATTAAGAAGTACAAAGTGGTTGTTTCAGAATAGTCATGAGGATGTAAATGACAACATAGGGAATACAGTCAATAATATCCTAATAACTACGTATGGTGTCAGGGGGGTCTGACAGATGTACCGGTATGATCACTTAGTACATTATAGAATGTCTAATCACGGTATACACCTGAAATTAATATAATAATGTATGTCCATTGTCATGGAAATATAAAAACGAGGTAAGAATTAAATAAATAAATGAACAATCCAAACCATGGAAAAGTGAAAACAAGTTCAAAGTCAGCAAACGTAGCACAATAAAACTCACAATCACATAGTCTTTAAATGGCCATAACATTCTAAGACTGGCTAAAGAATTCCAAAATGGAAACACTGAACAAAAAATATTCTGTGGAAATAACCCTTTTTCAAACTTCAACTAATTCAAACCAACATACATTTCTTGAGAGCTTAAAAGAAATGGAATGAAGTAAGTAATGAAATAAACACACGGTTTGACAATGTCTTTTGAATGCATGGCGGTGACTCCCAGGGTGTCTGTGAACCCCTGGGGGGAGAGACTTCTTGTCCCTAGTAAGTCACTCCACGTTCTAGGTATTAGTTCTTCTCACTGGAGAACGCACGTCCTGAACTCATTGACAGATTCCTCCTCCTCCTCCTTCCTATGACTCCCGACAAGCCCATGAGCTGGATGGTGAGGACGAAGTGATTACGTGGACTGTCACTGTGCCACGGAATGTGCCTCTTTATGTTGCAGTGCACTGTATCCAGCTTAGCTACAGAAAATAAGCTAAAACATTTTTTTCTGCTTTTGCCAAATGACACCACACTCCTCTCTATTGGTGTGAATCATCGGCCCAGGGAGACCTGGTCTGGATTCGAGGTGCGATGGAAGTCCTACCTTACGTGTGTGAGCAAGGACGCGTTCCGTTGAAAGTTCTCTCTGATTATGTTTCTTGTTAGCATAACTGCATAAAATCTGCCCGATCCCTCAAAAGTCCATTTTAAAATGCGTTTTAAAGCAGAGCCTTTGCCCGGCCGATGTGGCTCAGCGGTTGAGCATCGACCCTGCACCAAGAGGTCGCCATGTCCATTCCCAGACAGGGCACATGCCCAGGTTGTGGCCGGATCCCCAGTGGGGGGCGTGCAGGAGGCGGCCAGTCCATGTTCTCTCTCAACCATGTTTCTCTCTCTCTCTCCCTCTCCCTTCCTCTCTCTCTAAAATCAATAAAGAAAAAAATAATAATGAAATAAAGCAGAGGCCTTGTCCACCACAGACCGAAGTCCTTAGCCCTGTGCTGAGGAAGCGACCGGACCTGGTAAGGACCACTAGCACGGGTCAGCCACAGCAAGGTGACGCGAAGGGGATCCCTGGAAGGGAGACCCAGTGAGATCGCGGGTCCCCGCCCCTCCTGCTGCCCTCCCCTCCGGTCACCATTCACAAAGCAGGAAACCCAGGCTGAGGGGTGAGGGGCCCAGGAAGTCGAAGGCTCACAATACCTAAGTTCGAATCCCCTCTCCGCAGTCCAGGTCACAGGAACTTTCTAGTCTGCGGGGGGTTTTACCACTACCTGCAGGAACTCTCCATTAGGTTGTGACTTTATTAGACTCGTATAAACCTGGGGTGCATCGCGTCCCCAAACCGTGGGCAACACTGCTGACGCGATCAATGTGCGTTCCGCCCACCTCTCGTTAGTAAGAAAAGGAGTTGCTTCAGTGATGGAAGACTGTTAATACTGTCGGAAAAGGGCATTATTTCTGGCAGGGGGCTGCGGGGTGGGCCGGCCCCCACGCCTCCTCCAGGCAGGCCTCTCACTGGGAGGCAGACGATGGGGGAGGGGATTTCCAAGGTCTCTGTAATTCTACAGTTGTGCAAATTTTCAGGTCTTTAGTCATGAGAAAAATGAGATAACTAAAGTCCATTAAAGCCAGTAGCATCTTCAATACATCAGTCTTGGAACAGGACATTTTGCACCCCACCCCCCATTTTGACTTCTTGGAAGCGGGAAGCAGCCGTCAATCTGCTGAGCAATAAAACCTGAGCGGTTTCGTGTTTTCACTCTTGGTGCCGGTTTTACCTACTTCCACCACGGGGCTGTTTTGAGTGGGAAATCCACTCTTCCCGGCCGTGAGTGTTTCCCTGGAGACCTTGCTCGGCTGCCCCGCGGGAACACGGGTCACAGCCCGCAGTGGGCACCGTGCCCCGCAGCCGCCGTGAGGCCGGGGTAACCCCAGCGCCCCCTTTGCAGTGGGGCTGCCCGGCCCCCAGCCCCAAAGGCAGCCGAGACCGCGCCGCCCTCATCAGGCCCCGTCAGAAGTCGGTGGGGAGAGGGAATAGGGGTAATTGTCCTTTAAAATGGAGAGGAGCTCCCGGGAGAAAGGAAATTCCCCGAGGAAGTTGTTTTAAAACAAATAACCGTTCAGGAGGGAGCCGGCAAAAGGTGGGAAGCGCTGCCTTTGATTCGCTCTGTGTACCTGAGAGCAGAGGCTCTTATGCACATACTAGTAGAATGCTAATGAGCCTCCTGGGAGGACGGGCTGTTTGACCCTGGCACCCTCCCCAGAAAGGTTTGGGGTGTGTTTTTTTACCCCCATCGAGGTGCCAGGGGGGCCGTGTGGGGGAGGGGAATGGCCCCCCGCCTGGCCTCCGGGTGGGTGGAGAGGACAGGGGCTCAGATGTCGCTGCACATCAAGGAGCCCCTGAAGGTGCAACCTCTCGGTCTGCAGGTGGCTGTGTTTATCCACCCCCCTGACTCCCCAAACCTGAGTGGGCACCGCAGCACCTGGAGCCTCTTCCAGGTTTGCAGCCCCACCCCCAGGCTCCCAGTCGGCAGGGCGGGCGGGCCTGGGGCTCAGCATTTCTAAGGACACCCACCCTGCTAATCCGAGGCCCACCCCAGACACCCACTGCGCTCCGAGAGTCTCAGACACTCCCAAGCTGTCATCCGTCCTCACTCGGCCTCCTCTGTGTGTGCCCAAATGTCGCTTTTTATTAGGTCACCAGACACGTTGGATTAGTCACCTGTAGGCCAGTATGGCCTCATTCTAACTAGTTACATCTTCAGTGATTCTCTTTTGGGAGGACACAGTTTAGCCCACGACAGGGCTTACTCACAACTCCCGGGATGGGAGACTGTCCCCTCCTCGGGGTGCACACCCCACCCCAGGCTCTCCCTCCACACCACCAAGGGCCTGCCAGCTGTCCTGCACCGTGTCTGGCTCCCAGTAGCCACTTGCCCGGGCAGCTAATAAATGTGAATTGCTTTGCTTGTGACACATGCTGGGGTCCTCTTTCAAGGGGTGTCTTCCCGCAATTTCACAGGGTGCCCTGCCACATCGTTTTTGGAGCCGGGGAGTAGTTGAGACAATTCTGGCTGCTGAATCCACTCTGCAGAAAAGCAACACCCACAAATACACCCGCAGACACGTTCCGGGCAACACCGAGAGGCGGCGTGAGCCTGGTTCTGGAGTTTCACTGGGGAGTGTATGCCCATCTGCTGCCGAACCCCCTCACCTGCCCCAGAGTGAGAGCCAAGGTCCTTCCCCCCCCACCTGTCTCCGCCTCTCTACCCTGCAAACACGCCGGGGTCCTCCCTGTTCCTTGCACGGTCAGACCGAGACTCACAGGGCTGCCCCCCTGCCCCCCTGCCCCCAGCCACTCCCTACGCCAACCCTGATTGTCCTGTTTTCAGTCTCAATGTACCCAGCACCCCGCACACCCCTTATCCGTACCTCACCGCCCGGCTGCAGTCTCAGAGGGAAGGGAAGCTTCAGTCGGTCGCCCTGAAGTACAGCGTGAACTGGTTTCTACACGGGTCCTTGTCAAGGTTTCTTTCTGTCCCTATTTTCCTGACTTTTATTAGGAACCGATGTTGAATTCTGTCCATTGTTTTGCCTGCATGGCTTGATATGATCGTGTGATCATTAGCATGTGATTGATGATTGATTTTCAAATACCATACTAGTCCTGCATACCTAGGAAAAATCCTGCTTGATAGTGGAGTATTATTTTTCTGTATACTGCTACATTTTACTTGTTGATATTTTGTGAAGGATTTTTGTGTCTATATCCAGGAGGAATATTGCTCTGCAGGTGTTTCGGGTTTTTGGTTCTGTACCATCTCTTTGGTACCAAGCAAGAAGCAACTTCATGCAATCAGTTGGGTTGTTGACTCCTGTTTTCTGGAAAGATTGTTTAAAATTCATGTTAAATATTCTTCAAATAATCGATTTTTCCAGTAAAGCCATATAGATCTGGGAATTTCTTTTTGGGGCGTTTTAAATGATACAATCAATTTCCTTAATAGCTACAGGGCTGTTCACGTGACCTAGTTCACCTGGGTTGTGCTGCGTGTGGTGGCTGGTCTGGCCCTTCACCTCTGAGTTGTTAAATTTATGGGGCCGCACTCTTGTCGGCTCTGTTTGATGTCTGCACGTCCCGTAGCGATATCCCGCCTCATCCGAGAGCAGTGCCTGTCAGTTCGGCTAGCGGGGGGTCACCGTTATTAATCTTTTCACATAGCCAACCCTGTGTCTGAGGTTTTCCCCCTCAGTTATCTGTTCCCAAGTCCGCGCCATTCTGCTCTAACTTTACTAGGCCTCCCTTCGCTTGCGTTCGGTGTATCTGTTCAGCCTCTTCGGGCTCCGGGGGTGGAAGCTTAGACGATGGGTTTGGGACTTTCTTCTTTCTTACCCGACGACCGCAGCCGTGCCTTCGCCCCGCAGTACCCCTTCAGCACGAAGGTTCTGTGTCCCCCGGATCCCGGTAGCCGTGCCTTCGCCCCGCAGTACCCCCTCAGCACGACGGTTCTGTGTCCCCCGGATCCCGGTAGCCGTGCCTTCGCCCCGCAGTACCCCTTCAGCAGGAAGGTTCTGTGTCCCCCGGATCCCGGTAGCCGTGCCTTCGCCCCGCAGTACCCCTTTATCACGAAGGTTCTGTGTCCCCGGATCCCGGTAGCTGTGCCTTCGCCCCGCAGTACCCCTTTATCACGAAGGTTCTGTGTCCCCGGATCCCGGTAGCTGTGCCTTCGCCCCGCAGTACCCCTTTATCACGAAGGTTCTGTGTCCCCCGGATCCCGGTAGCCGTGCCTTCGCCCCGCAGTACCCCTTTATCACGAAGGTTCTGTGTCCCCGGATCCCGGTAGCTGTGCCTTCGCCCCGCAGTACCCCTTTATCACGAAGGTTCTGTGTCCCCCGGATCCCGGTAGCCGTGCCTTCGCCCCGCAGTACCCCTTTATCACGAAGGTTCTGTGTCCCCCGGATCCCGGTAGCCGTGCCTTCGCCCCGCAGTACCCCTTCAGCACGAAGGTTCTGTGTCCCCCGGATCCCGGTAGCTGTGCCTTCGCCCCGCAGTACCCCTACAGCACGAAGGTTCTGTGTCCCCCGGATCCCGGTAGCCGTGCCTTCGCCCCGCAGTACCCCTTTATCACGAAGGTTCTGTGTCCCCTGGATCCCGGTAGCCGTGCCTTCGCCCCGCAGTACCCCCTCAGCACGAAGGTTCTGTGTCCCCCGGATCCCGGTAGCTGTGCCTTCGCCCCGCAGTACCCCTACAGCACGAAGGTTCTGTGTCCCCCGGATCCCGGTAGCCGTGCCTTCGCCCCGCAGTACCCCTTTATCACGAAGGTTCTGTGTCCCCCGGATCCCGGTAGCCGTGCCTTCGCCCCGCAGTACCCCTTTATCACGAAGGTTTCTGTGTCCCCCCGGATCCCGGTAGCCGTGCCTTCGCCCCGCAGTACCCCTTCAGCACGAAGGTTCTGTGTCCCCCGGATCCCGGTAGCCGTGCCTTCGCCCCGCAGTACCCCCTTCAGCACGAAGGTTCTGTGTCCCCCGGATCCCGGTAGCCGTGCCTTCGCCCCGCAGTACCCCTTCAGCACGAAGGTTCTGTGTCCCCTGGATCCAGGTAGCCGTGCCTTTGCCCCGCAGTACCCCTTCAGCACGAAGGTTCTGTGTCCCCCGGATCCCGGTAGCCGTGCCTTCGCCCCACAGTACCCCTTCAGCACGAAGGTTCTGTGTCCCCTGGATCCAGGTAGCCGTGCCTTCGCCCCACAGTACCCCTTCAGCACGAAGGTTCTGTGTCCCCTGGATCCAGGTAGCCGTGCCTTTGCCCCGCAGTACCCCCTCAGCACGAAGGTTCTGTGTCCCCCGGATCCCGGTAGCTGTGCCTTCACCCCGCAGCACCCCTTCAGCACGAAGGTTCTGTGTCCCCTGGATCCAGGTAGCTGTGCCTTTGCCCCGCAGTACCCCCTCAGCACGAAGGTTCTGTGTCCCCCGGATCCCGGTAGCTGTGCCTTCACCCCGCAGTACCCCTTTATCACGAAGGTTCTGTGTCCCCCGGATCCCGGTAGCCGTGCCTTCGCCCCGCAGTACCCCTTTATCACGACGGTCCTGTGTCCCCCAGATCCCGGTAGCTGTGCCTTCGCCCCGCAGTCGTGCCTTCGCCCCGCAGTACCCCCTCAGCACGAAGGTTCTGTGTCCCCCGGATCCCGGTAGCCGTGCCTTCGCCCCGCAGTACCCCTTCAGCACGAAGGTTCTGTGTCCCCTGGATCCAGGTAGCTGTGCCTTCGCCCCGCAGTACCCCCTCAGCACGAAGGTTCTGTGTCCCCCGGATCCCGGTAGCTGTGCCTTCACCCCGCAGTACCCCTTCAGCACGAAGGTTCTGTGTCCCCTGGATCCAGGTAGCTGTGCCTTCGCCCCGCAGTACCCCCTCAGCACGAAGGTTCTGTGTCCCCCGGATCCCGGTAGCTGTGCCTTCACCCCGCAGTACCCCTTTATCACGAAGGTTCTGTGTCCCCCGGATCCCGGTAGCCGTGCCTTCGCCCCGCAGTACCCCTTTATCACGACGGTCCTGTGTCCCCCAGATCCCGGTAGCTGTGCCTTCGCCCCGCAGTCGTGCCTTCGCCCCGCAGTACCCCCTCAGCACGAAGGTTCTGTGTCCCCCGGATCCCGGTAGCTGTGCCTTCACCCCGCAGTACCCCTTCAGCACGAAGGTTCTGTGTCCCCTGGATCCAGGTAGCTGTGCCTTCGCCCCGCAGTACCCCCTCAGCACGAAGGTTCTGTGTCCCCCGGATCCCGTAGCTGTGCCTTCACCCCGCAGTACCCCTTTATCACGAAGGTTCTGTGTCCCCCGGATCCCGGTAGCCGTGCCTTCGCCCCGCAGTACCCCTTTATCACGACGGTCCTGTGTCCCCCAGATCCCGGTAGCTGTGCCTTCGCCCCGCAGTCGTGCCTTCGCCCCGCAGTACCCCCTCAGCACGAAGGTTCTGTGTCCCCCGGATCCCGGCAGCCGTGCCTTCGCCCAGGCAGCTCCCTGTACATTTCCTTTTTAATTTCCCGAGATGTCCTCCGTGGCCCGTGATTGCTTAGTATGTGCTGTTTAGTTTCCCTGTTTCCTTCTGTCTTTAATTTCTCGTGGGATCGTGCTATGGTCAGAAAACAAACTCCGTATGATTTCAAGTCTTTCAGATTTTTGGAGGTTTGTTTTAGGCCCTGAGGTACGGTCTCAGCATGTGTCCAGGGCTCCGGGACAGATGCCCGTTCTCCTGGGGCAGAGCGCGTGGGCCGAGACGCCGACCGGACCCCACGGGCAGGGCTCGGCTGGGTCCCTGGGGAGCCCTGCCCGCTGGGCTGGCAGGTACGAGAGAGCTGCTGCAGTCTGGAGCTCGAGCCCTGGGTTTGTGTTTCTCCTTTCGCCCCTGCTCATTTCTGGTCCGCATCTTTTATAGCAGGAAAAAATTTCACAGGTCGGTGCACGAATCAATGAACTAAAAAACAGAGACAGCAGAGGAAGCCAATGAAACAAAGAACGGTTTTTCAGAAGATCCATAAAAGTAACCGTTTTCTCGGCTCGCACTGCGACGTGCTCATTTCCACGCAGTCGGGATGGCGGGTCCTCTCGGTGGGCTGACTCTCACCACGCAACGCCTTTCTCTGTCTCTGGTGACCGTCTGTGCTGAAGTCACTTTGCCTGACGTTAGCATGGCTACACCTACTTGCCTTTGACTGATGTTTGCACAACATACCTTTTTCCTATCCTGTTGCTGTCAGGGTGTCAATGTTATAGCTAGAGCGCATTTCTCACAGAAAGCATATTGTTTCCCCTCCCTTCTGATGATCTCTCCCTTGGTGTCTTTAGGCCATTTATACTTAATGGAACTTACTGCAATATTTGGGCTTTGCTCTGCTGCTTTATTTTTTTGTTTTCTGTTTGTTCTGGTTTTTTTGTTTGTTTGTTTGTTTCTCTGTTTCCTTTTCCTGGCTTCCTGTGGGTTACCTGAAGCTTTTTTAGGTCCATTTTGATTTAACGACAGCGTTTTTAAGTGGATCACTTTGCACAACATTTTGAGTGTTTCTTCTAGGTCTTACATTATCTAGACATCACTGGTCTTCGTGCGAGTTGGAGTGAAGTGTAGTGACCTTACCTCCCTTAAAGTTCTGTGATCTCCACTGTTCATACAATAATTGTCTCAAATATTTCCTGTACATACTTTTAACACCATATTGGACAGTGGTGTACTTTTTGCTCCAAACGTAATGTGGACAACTCAAAAAAAAGAAGAAAAGCTTATTGTAGTCACCCACACTTCCTAACGTTGCCCTTTCCTCCTCCTTGATGCTCCAAGTTCCTCCTTCATTTCCTTTCTTTTCAGAAAACTGCTTTAGCCCTTTTTTTTTTTTTTGAGTAAGAATATCACTGTGTTTATTTTCACGCAGGGAATTTTTCTATAGCTTCGACATTTTCCTCTCAACCATAAAACAAGAAGCCTAAGCTTCGAAGTGGATCACCTGGCCCTGCCTCCTCTTATCTCCCCCCGTTCAGAATGTGCGCCTCGCTTACCGGCCAGCGCCCTCTGGATCTGCAGGGGGCTCAGCACACTCAAGCCTCAGCACAATCTCCTTTGTGGTTTTAGCTTTCTTTCGGAAAATCGGCCTTGCTTGCCCACCGCGGCCGCCCTGCTTCCGGTCGTAACGCCTTTCTCCGGGCATCCGGGGAACCCCTGTCTTATCCTGGGTCACTCCGGGGGGCTACGCTTTCCACACTCCTTACGGACAGTCCTGGGGGTTAGGCACATGGACCATCTTGGCAGAACTGTCCAGTGATGGAAACGGGAAACGCGGGGTCCAGGCCTCGCCTCTGCTGGAGCAGTTATCTTAGGGTATGTCTGCTGGTGACGAAGTCTCTGTTTTTCCTCATCTGAGAGAGTCTTCATTTCCCATTCATTCCTGAAGGATAATTTCACTGGACCTAGGATCCTGGATTGAGAGTTCTTCTCCTTCAACATCTGAAAATATTGTACCGCTTTCCTCTGGTCTCCATGGTTTCTGAGCAGAAGTCTTTGTAAACCTTTTTTTTTTTTTTTAATTCTCACCCGAGGGCATTTTTGCATTTATCTTCAGAAAGGGCGGGAGGGAGAGAGGGAGAAAGAGAAAGAGAGAAACATCGATGTGAGAGAGACAGATTGAGTGGCTGCCATCCACACGACCCCAACTGGGGCCGGGGACAAACTGCAACCGAGGTACATGCCCTTAGCGGGAACCGAACCCAGGACTCTCTGGTCCCCAGGCCGACGCTCTAACTGCTGAGCCAAACCGGCCAGGGCTGGGATAATTTTTTAATGTTCATCATCAAACATGACATAGTAATCAAGTTAATACTCTTTTTCTTTAATTTTTTTTTCCTTTATTGATTTTACAGAGAGAGGAAATGAGAGGGAGAGACAGAAACATCAACGGGAGAGAACATCGATTGGCTGCCTCCTGCACGCCCCCCACTGGGGACCAGGCCCTCAACCTGGGCATGTGTCCTGCTGGGAATCGAACCGGCGACCTCTTGGTGCAGGGGTTGGCGTTGAACCACTGAGCCACAACGGCTGGACAATCAAGTTAATATTCTGTGATACCTATTTTATGTAGAGTTCCTTTTAATCAAGGATGCATTTTGGTTTTGTTTTTTTCTTTCTTTTTAATATTTATTGGAACCATATATTATTTTCTTATTTAAACTAATATGATGAATTATGTTATAATAGTATATTTTCTAATACTGAACCACTTGTTCTGTTTTAATACAAATCCAGCTTGTTCACATATTATCGTTTTTATATTCTTTTCATATTTAGATGGATTTTAATAGATAGAAATTGATTTAGGATTTTTGAATTTACAGTGATACCTCGGTTCTCGAACATAATTCGTTCCAGGAGGACGGTCGAGAACCAAATTGTTCGAGAACCGAAGCAATGAAACCCAATAGGAAATAATGGAAACTGGATTAATTTGTTCCAAGCCCCAGAAAATGCCTATTTACTGGCCTAATTTGTATATAATATGTAGAAAAACATAAGTCTCAACAAGAAATAAAAGTGTCCAGTATGTCTAAGGGTTAAATTCAGTGTAAAGCGTGACTCTCTCCACAAAGCGTGACTCTCTCTCTGCACTCACACTGATGACGCGAGCAAGGCTCGCTGGGCCGAATGAACGCCATTCGGCTCAACTCGGCTCATCTCGGAAGTTCGAGTTCCAAATATTTGTTCAGATTCCGAGACAAAAGTTTCTCGAATCTCCTGGTCGAATACCGATTTGGTCGAGAACCGAGGCGTTCGAGAACCGAGGTATCACTTATATGCATAAGTTTTTTATTTTTAGGGGAACTATCTTTTTCAAAATCAATAATTTTTAAGTTTCAAAACTGAGTTGCTTTCTTTCTCAATGCACTGGATCGGTTTAAATGGCAGAAAATGACCTGTTCCCCTCAGCTGTGACATGTCAGAGAACATTTAGGGACATAATTCTTTGATTACTTCTTCTCTTTCCTAGTTCCTTCCTTTCTTCTTCACATGTACCCAGAGGCCCATGCACTCCACAGGGATGCTCAGAGTTTGCTCTGGGGTTATGCACAGTTTGATCACATGCTCTGTAACCAGTGGGCTAGCCTGGGGCTGCTCCTTCCACGGCAGTGGCCGAGGTGCAGGGGCTGCCCGATCAGCACACTTGAACCCCCGCATGCCCAGCGTGTCTGCTACATTCCATCAACCTGAGAAAATCACACAGCCCAGCTCCAAGCCGAGGTGGGAGCCCAGACTCTCCACAAAAATGAGAGAACTGCACACAAGCACCTCAGAACGTGGGAGTGCAGGGAGGGTTCCCTTCCGGGGAAGAACACTTCGTGGTCACACCTGGGTCAAAGGTGGGTGCTCATTGCCACTGAGAGGTCATTGCTTCCAGGCCTCCCCAGTGGACTACGTTAGAAAATACATCCTAAGCCCGGCCGGTGTGGCTCAGTGGATAGAGCATCCTCCCCTGGACTGAGAGGTCCCATTCCATTCCCGGTCAGGGCACATGCCAGGGTTGCAGGCTCGATCCCCAGTAGGGGGCGTGCAGGAGGCGGCCGATCAACTTATCTCTCTCACATGGATGTTTCTATCCCTCCCTTCCTCTCGCTCTAAAAAAGAAAAACAAAAGGAAATGCATCCTAAAAATAAAGCATAAGTTCATATTAATATTTTGGGGGGAAAACCTAACATTGTAAGGTTTAGCATAGGCTCTAATTTTGTACCTGTATTTTCTCTCTCACACTAAATACCCAGGTTTATAAGAGCATTAAAAAGTAGTACTTTTTAAAATCTTATAACATCCATAAATTAGTTTCCAAGTAATAATTCTAATAGTATTACTAACAACAAAAAATATACTATGGAAAGTTTAAGATTTTTTTGTAATTTCTTTTATACTTAGACTATATTCCACTAAAAATGTATAATAACATAAGTAGTAAAAATACTATACTTTAAAAACCCATGAAATGATTTTTCCCCCTCTATGTAGTTATGGTATTAATTTGATATAGTTACCATCAATCACGACGGTTTTCAATTTTCAGGATTGCTTTTTTTCCTGTGAATTACATGATACTCTGACGTGGTTCACAAATCAAAGATAATTAGAGAAGTTACAACAGAACCTCATTTCACCGTATCCTGTTCTCTCTTACGTGTCCCCATAGGTTAGCATCTAACCCCGTCTCTGGTCCATCTGTTTCCTTTCGTGACTGTCTGACCTACAGTCTATCCCTCACCTGTGGTACATGAGACGCAGCACCCTGTTCACTCTGCCCTGACCCTCGCTTCTTTCCCCCTGACACTGTTTTGGAGATGGTGGTGTGCGGGCACTCCGATCTTCTGCTGAGCTCTTCTTGATCCGGACTCTAGCCCTCTGCTCACGGATAGCTACGTTGTTGCCAGTTTTGTGCCTCACAAGTACCGCTGCCATTACAAACGCCCGGGTCCTTTTGTCCTGGTGCAGGTAAGTACACCTTGCGCTGCATGGCTAGAAGTGGGGTTGCCAGGCCGAAGGGGAAACGCAGCTGTTACTTTGTTTCTATTGCTTTTTTTTTTTTTTATCCTCACCCGAGGATATTTTTCCATCTTTTGTACAGATAGAGTGGGAGGGAGAGAGAGAAACATCGACATGAAGGGACACATCGAGTGGCTGCCACCCGCACGACCAACCAGGGCCGGGGACAAACTGCAACCGAAGTACGTGCCCTTAGCGGGAACCGAACCCGGGTCTCTCCAGACCGCAGGCCGACGCTCTAACCGCTGAGCCAAACCGGCCAGGGCTGTTTCTATTGCTTTTTAAAGTGAAATAGTGTTTTCAATCTGAAAGCAATCCAGACGGCTCTCGCCTGTGTTAGATGAAACGATCTCTCAAACCTGTTTGAGGCGATCAACTAGGCCTTTAGTTTCTCCTCCTGTTTTAAAAGGGAAATCTGTCGTCTATGATACTATTTATTCTGAAGCGTCAGGATGACCCCCTGTTCTCTGCCACGGAATCAGTGCCTGCCCACGGTTTTCTCTGTCTTGGTCTCCTTTGAGTGTGTGTGCGTGTCTGGTGTGGAAGCAAGGTGTGTGTGTGTGTCAGTAAATTTCGTAAGTTTTGGGGGTGGGAGGTGGTGTTGTTGGGGGGCAGGGCCTGTCTTTATCCAGTATTGATGTTTTTGAGTTTTCTTTTTAAGGGATTTTCGGGTCTCCCGTTAGCATGTTTTAACCTATGAACAAAGTAAAGGAAATGTTATTTTGCTTAATTGGAGGTCCAGCTGAGGTGAGATATCGGGGTTCCATTTCAGCAGCCCCAAGGGAGATCAGAGGCAGATGTCAGTATTGACTTCCTCTGGGTGTGTGATTTGCTCGGACACAGACGCCAGCTGGGCCCCCAAACCCTCGTGAGACTGGCTCCGGCCTCCTCATCACATCTTCACCCACCTTGGCTCTCCCATGGCCACCAGCACGCCGAGCGCAGACACCGCTCCACGCGTGTGCACAGATGAACTCCAGCCGCCCTGGGCCCCAAGACGTAGGCCTAGTACTTGCCTAACGTACAGGCCGAGCCTTAGCACAGAGGGTGAGGCTGCCAGAGCCACCCAGGGCAGGGAACCGAGGGCTTCCCAGAGACAGGAAAGTCCCCAAACCCAGTTTGGGGACACTTGCGCAGCCGTGACCGCCCGTCCCACAAGACGCAAACCCCGCACTCGCGGTCCCGGCCTGCCCTGAGCCCGGCCTGCCCTGAGCCCCGGCCCTGAGCCCCGGCCTGCCCTGAGCCCCGGCCTGCCCTGAGCCCCGGCCCTGAGCCCCGGGCTGCCCTGAGCCCGGCCTGCCCTGAGCCCCTGCCCTGAGCCCGGCCTGCCCTGAGCCCCTGCCTGCCGAGCCCAGGCCTGCCCTGAGCCCCTGCCCTGAGCCCGGCCTGCCCTGAGCCCGGCCTGCCCTGAACCCCTGCCTGCCGAGCCCCGGCCTGCCCTGAGCCCCTGCCCTGAGCCCGGCCTGCCCTGAGCCCCTGCCCTGAGGCCCTGCCTGCCGAGCCCTGGCCTGCCCTGAGCCCTGGCCCTGAGCCCTGGCCCTGAGCCCCTGCCCTGAGCCCCTGCCCTGAGCCCCGGCCTGCCCTGAGCCCCTGCCCTGAGCCCCGGCCTGCCCTGAGCCCGGCCTGCCCTGAGCCCCGGCCTGCCCTGAGCCCCGGCCCTGAGCCCCGGCCTGCCCTGAGCCCCTGCCCTGAGCCCGGCCTGCCCTGAGCCCCTGCCCTGAGCCCGGCCTGCCCTGAGCCCCTGCCCTGAGCCCCTGCCTGCCGAGCTCCGGCCTGCCCTGAGCCCCTGCCCTGAGCCCGGCCTGCCCTGAGCCCCTGCCCTGAGCCCCTGCCTGCCGAGCCCTGGCCTGCCCTGAGCCCTGGCCCTGAGCCCCTGCCCTGAGCCCCGGCCCTGAGCCCGGCCTGCCCTGAGCCCCTGCCCTGAGCCCCTGCCTGCCGAGCCCCGGCCTGCCCTGAGCCCCTGCCCTGAGCCCGGCCTGCCCTGAGCCCCTGCCCTGAGCCCCTGCCTGCCGAGCCCTGGCCTGCCCTGAGCCCTGGCCCTGAGCCCCGGCCCTGAGCCCCGGCCCTGAGCCCCGGCCTGCCCTGAGCCCGGCCTGCCCTGAGCCCCGGCCTGCCCTGAGCCCCTGCCCTGAGCCCCGGCCTGCCCTGAGCCCGGCCTGCCCTGAGCCCCGGCCTGCCCTGAGCCCCGGCCCTGAGCCCCGGCCTGCCCTGAGCCCCTGCCCTGAGCCCGGCCTGCCCTGAGCCCCTGCCCTGAGCCCGGCCTGGCGGTCGGCTTCCTCCCTGGGCGACAGGCATCTGCAGTGTTCTCGGGTGTGCTCCGGGCACCCGCACCTCGGCTGCAGACCCTGCCCGTCCTTCATCGGGAACACAGCAAGCTGCAGGGTTCCCTGATTGGCCCCCCACATCCTGGGACATGCCTGCCCAGGCCCAGTGTCGCGAGCAGGGTGGCCTGGGAGCGGGGCTAAGGTGTCCCGGGAGCTCACCTGCGCGCACCTCCGCCAGCCGGCCTCCGCGCCGCTTCCCCTCTCGTCCTCCAGAGGGCGCCGCAGAACAACGAGCCGCAGCGGCTCCCGCGGCGCTGGGCGCCAATCCGGCTCTGGGGCAGGAAAGGCGGTGAAAGGAGACTTCTGTGCGGTCTCCGTGTTCCTGGCTGATGTCGGTTCCTGTTCTGCTTGCGAACGGGATGACCAACGCTGCGTGAATTTTTCACACGCATTCACGTGAGAGTGGCCCTTTCCTAAAAGCTTTGATAGAATTTGCAGGTTCATGCCCTCAGCTTGGCCTGTGCCAGTCTGCAGACGTTTAGTTGGGAAGCAGTAATATTTCCTGCCACTAATAATAGCCGGGGTGTCAGGTAGGGACTGAGGACCCCGAACAGAGACATTCAAGACCACAAAAGCAATCAGCTAACAGGCCCTGAAGTCCTCACTGCACCTGCCCCAGCAGGACCTGCCCCTGCATTCCCGGGATATTGACTGCGGCTGAGCGCCCATCCACCAGCTTTTCCAGGTGATCTTTCAAGATTCGTGACAACCTAGGTCACACATTTCTTTGTAAAGCATATCAAATTTAAGGTCAAGTAATGTTTCCTCTAAGGCATGTTTTGCATTTGTTTTTCCATACATTTAACAGAATGTGGACCGACTGGGAGGGAGGGCGTGGGGTACAGCCTGCTCTGTGCAGACTCACATCTGGGAGGGCGTGGGGTACAGCCTGCTCCGTGCAAACACATCTGGGAGGGCGTGGGGTACAGCCTGCTCCGTGCAGACTCACATCTGGGAGGGCGTGGGGTACAGCCTGCTCCGTGCAAACACATCTGGGAGGGCGTGGGGTACAGCCTGCTCCGTGCAGATCACATCTGGGAGGGCGTGGGGTACAGCCTGCTCCATGCAAACACATCTGGGAGGGCATGGGGTACAGCTTTCTCCGTGCAAACACATCTGGGAGGGCATGGGGTACAGCCTGCTCCATGCAAACACATCTGGGAGGGCATGGGGTACAGCTTTCTCCATGCAAACACGTCTGGGAGGGCATGGGGTACAGCTTTCTCCGTGCAAACACATCTGGGAGGGCATGGGGTACAGCCTGCTCCGTGCAAACACATCTGGGAGGGCGTGGGGTACAGCTTTCTCCGTGCAAACACATCTGGGAGGGCCGGGGGTACAGCCTGCTCCGTGCAAACACATCTGGGAGGGCGTGGGGTACAGCTTTCTCCGTGCAAACACATCTGGGAGGGCATGGGGTACAGCCTGCTCCGTGCAAACACATCTGGGAGGGCATGGGGTACAGCTTTCTCCGTGCAAACACATCTGGGAGGGCATGGGGTACAGCCTGCTCCGTGCAAACACATCTGGGAGGGCATGGGGTACAGCCTGCTCCGTGCAAACACATCTGGGAAAGCGTGGGGTACAGCTTGCTCCGTGCAGACTCACATCTGGGAGGGCGTGGGGTACAGCCTGCTCCATGCAAACACATCTGGGAGAGCATGGGGTACAGCCTGCTCCATGCAAACACATCTGGGAGAGCATGGGGTACAGCCTGCTCCATGCAAACACATCTGGGAGGGCATGGGGTACAGCCTGCTCCGTGCAAACACATCTGGGAGGGCATGGGGTACAGCCTGCTCCGTGCAAACACGTCTGGGAGGGCGTGGGGTACAGCCTGCTCCGTGCAAACACATCTGGGAGGGCGTGGGGTACAGCCTGCTCCGTGCAAACACATCTGGGAGGGCGTGGGGTACAGCTTTCTCCGTGCAAACACATCTGGGAGGGCATGGGGTACAGCCTGCTCCGTGCAAACACATCTGGGAGGGCATGGGGTACAGCCTGCTCCGTGCAAACACGTCTGGGAGGGCATGGGGTACAGCCTGCTCCGTGCAAACACATCTGGGAGGGCATGGGGTACAGCCTGCTCCGTGCAAACACATCTGGGAGGGCATGGGGTACAGCCTGCTCCATGCAAACACATCTGGGAGGGCGTGGGGTACAGCCTGCTCCGTGCAAACACATCTGGGAGGGCGTGGGGTACAGCCTGCTCCGTGCAAACACATCTGGGAGGGCATGGGGTACAGCCTGCTCCGTGCAAACACATCTGGGAGGGCATGGGGTACAGCCTGCTCCGTGCAAACACGTCTGGGAGGGCATGGGGTACAGCCTGCTCCGTGCAAACACGTCTGGGAGGGCGTGGGGTACAGCTTGCTCCATGCAGACTCACATCTGGGAGGGCGTGGGGTACAGCCTGCTCCATGCAAACACATCTGGGAGAGCATGGGGTACAGCCTGCTCCATGCAAACACATCTGGGAGGGCATGGGGTACAGCCTGCTCCGTGCAAACACATCTGGGAGGGCATGGGGTACAGCCTGCTCCATGCAAACACATCTGGGAGGGCATGGGGTACAGCCTGCTCCGTGCAAACACATCTGGGAGGGCATGGGGTACAGCCTGCTCCGTGCAAACACATCTGGGAGGGCATGGGGTACAGCCTGCTCCGTGCAAACACATCTGGGAGGGCGTGGGGTACAGCTTTCTCCGTGCAAACACATCTGGGAGGGCATGGGGTACAGCCTGCTCCGTGCAAACACATCTGGGAGGGCATGGGGTACAGCCTGCTCCGTGCAAACACGTCTGGGAGGGCATGGGGTACAGCCTGCTCCGTGCAAACACATCTGGGAGGGCATGGGGTACAGCCTGCTCCATGCAAACACATCTGGGAGGGCGTGGGGTACAGCCTGCTCCGTGCAAACACATCTGGGAGGGCATGGGGTACAGCCTGCTCCGTGCAAACACATCTGGGAGGGCATGGGGTACAGCCTGCTCCGTGCAAACACATCTGGGAGGGCATGGGGTACAGCCTGCTCCATGCAAATACGTCTGGGAGGGCATGGGGTACAGCCTGCTCCGTGCAAACACATCTGGGAGGGCGTGGGGTACAGCTTGCTCCATGCAGACTCACATCTGGGAGGGCGTGGGGTACAGCCTGCTCCATGCAAACACATCTGGGAGAGCATGGGGTACAGCCTGCTCCATGCAAACACATCTGGGAGGGCATGGGGTACAGCCTGCTCCGTGCAAACACATCTGGGAGGGCATGGGGTACAGCCTGCTCCATGCAAACACATCTGGGAGGGCATGGGGTACAGCCTGCTCCGTGCAAACACATCTGGGAGGGCATGGGGTACAGCCTGCTCCATGCAAACACATCTGGGAGGGCATGGGGTACAGCCTGCTCCGTGCAAACACATCTGGGAAGGCATGGGGTACAGCCTGCTCCATGCAAACACATCTGGGAGAGCATGGGGTACAGCCTGCTCCGTGCAAACACATCTGGGAGGGCATGGGGTACAGCCTGCTCCGTGCAAACACATCTGGGAGGGCATGGGGTACAGCCTGCTCCATGCAAACACATCTGGGAGGGCATGGGGTACAGCCTGCTCCATGCAAACACATCTGGGAGGGCGTGGGGTACAGCCTGCTCCATGCAGACTCACATCTGGGAGGGCGTGGGGTACAGCCTGCTCCATGCAGACTCACATCTGGGAGGGCGTGGGGTACAGCCTGCTCCGTGCAAACACATCTGGGAGGGCATGGGGTACAGCCTGCTCCATGCAAACACATCTGGGAGGGCGTGGGGTACAGCCTGCTCCATGCAGACTCACATCTGGGAGGGCGTGGGGTACAGCCTGCTCCATGCAGACTCACATCTGGGAGGGCGTGGGGTACAGCCTGCTCCATGCAGACTCACATCTGGGAGGGCGTGGGGTACAGCCTGCTCCATGCAGACTCACATCTGGGAGGGCGTGGGGTACAGCTTTCTCCATGCAAACACATCTGGGAAAGTGTGGGGTACAGCTTGCTCCGTGCAGACTCACATCTGGGAGGAGGGGCTGCAGATGGTGGACATGGTGGGCCCTCTCACCACGCCCCCTGCTACCAGTGGAAGGGGCTCCACAAACGCCCCCCTCTCCCAGGTCACATGTGGGGGGGTGCAGTGCTGGGGACTAGCAGTCACCAGGTGTCTGCCGTCCCTCCCCTGCTCTCACCTGACCCACGAGGTCCCGCCGCTCAGCGCCCTGCAGCCAGGCTGTGGCCCTGTGGCAAGAACTCTCGCAGATGGCAGGAGGGCGTGGGTCCCGGGCTCAGCGCCTGTCCGGCACCTTCCGCCTCCAGGCTGCCTGGGTTACAGCAGTCCCTTTGCAGCCAAGAACGTCTCTGCACGCCTGGTGCCCGTCTGGCCCCTGGGAACGCGCTCACCAGCTGTGCCCCTCGGAGGGAAACAGTCCTCGGCGAAGAGGCCACTGAGCACACTGCGGGGGTCCGTGGCCGGACACCGGGCACACTGCGGGGGTCCGTGGCCGGACACCGGGCACACTGCGGGGGTCCGTGGCCGGACACCGGGCACACTGTGGGGGTCTGTGACCGGCCACCGGGCACCCTGCGGGGGTCTGTGACCGGACACTGAACACTCAGCTTCAGGAGCAGCCTCTCCGACAAACCCCGGGTGTGTACTCTGTACGCTCTGAGGCTTTAGGAGCTAAGGTCTCAGTGTGGTCTGTTCTCCATGGTGATTATCATCACACTGTAAACACATCCGGGACTGCAAAGCTGCGGTCTGTCGGGGTTTCTGCCCTCACTCCCCCCCTTTCTCCTGCTCGGCACGGGATGCTGATCCCCAGCTCGTGGATCATGGATCGTGGATCGTGGATGGTGGATGGTGGATCGTGGATCGCCTCCGGTTGGTAACTTCCTGCAACTTCATGGCAGCACCGCCCACAGTGGCAGGCCGGTCCCAGCGGAAAGAGGAGAGATGAGCTACGGTGGGGGAGCCCCCGTGCACCAGGAACGCAGCACCATGCGCCAAGCCCCGGGCGGGGGAGCCCCCGTGCACCAGGAACCCAGCACCACGCGCCGAGCCCCGGGCGGGGGAGCCCCGGTGCACCAGGAACGCAGCACCACGCGCCGAGCCCCGGGCGGGGGAGCCCCCGTGCACCAGGAACGCAGCACCACGCGCCAAGCACCACGAAGCGGATCTCTCGCTCCACACCCCGGTGGACCCCGTGCCCCCCGAGACGTGTGGTGAGGCGTGGGGCCCTCTGTGCTCGTAGGACACTGTGAACTATAGGCCAGGCTTCACCCCACGGCTCTGGAAACTTGGGGGGCGGGGACACAGAGAGGACGGGATGGGGAGAAGAGAAAGGAACAAGGCCAGAGGGACTTGCAGCGCGGTGTGAAATGTGTCCCCTCTGTCTAAGCCGTTAGCCAAGGGGGTCTTGGCCCTTCTCCTAACTGTTGCGATGACATTTCTCCTGACTGTACATTAGAGACTGATGCTTCTCCGGCTTCTCCTCAGCTCGGTATAGTCCGTGCATTTCACTTCCTGGTGGTCAGCGTGGCCCAGGCAGCGGTCACAGGTCACCTCTCTCCTCCACTTCCGCCACGAGAAAAGTGAGGTCAGTGCCGACTGCTGCTGCCCCCTCCCCCAGGGGCCGTGTCCACTGTGTCCGCTGCCCCCCTCCCCCGGGGGCCGTGTCCACTGTGTCCGCTGCCCCCCTCCCCCGGGGGCCGTGTCCGCTGTGTCTGCTGCCCCCCTCCCCCGGGGGCCGTGTCCGCTGTGTCCACTCCCCAAGGGGCCGTGTCCGCTGCCCCACCCTCCCAGGATCCCTGTCCGCTGCCCCCTCCCCCAGGGGCCCTGTCCACTGACCCCCCTCCCAGGGGCCGTGTCCCCAAAGGAAGATGGCGGATGCTGGCCTTGTCTGTCCGTCCAAACTGAACACTTTCTTGCTAATCTGCGGACGCCTTGTTTTCATGGTAGGGACGTCTGTAAACGATGCGAATGTTTCTCTGTTTCTCCTTCCAGTCTGGACAGCAAGTCTCCCGCCCCTGCCTGCGCGGGTCAGCCCCACCCTGAGCGCTCTGAGCAGTTCCAGGACCTCCTGGACTGTGCAGAGGCCACAACAGGGCAATGTGATGTGTCAAAGCAGACAGCCACTCGGCCAGGGGCCCACAAGGGGAGAGATCGGCTAGGCGAGGAAGGAAGGAAGGAAGGAGGAGGAAGGGAGGAAGGGAGGAAGGGAGGAAGGGAGGAAGGGAGGAAGGGAGGAAGGGAGAAGGGAGGAAGGGAGGAAGGGAGGAAGGGAGGAAGGGAGGAAGGGAGGAAGGGAGGAAGGGAGGAGGGAAGGAGGGAAGGAGGGAAGGGAGGAAGGGAGGAAGGGAGGAAGGGAGGAAGGGAGGAAGGGAGGAAGGGAGGAAGGAAGGAGGGAAGGAAGGGGGAAGGGAGGGAGGGAGAGAAAACAGGGAGAGATGGAGGTAGGGAGGGAGGGAGGGAGGAGGGAAGGACGGAAGGAGGGAAGGAAGGAAGGGGGAAGGGAGGGAGGGAGGAGGGAACCGGTAGAAGAAAAACAGAGCTCAGAGCCAGGTGTCTGCCATTTGAAATGACTACTGTGCGCCTCTGTGAATTCGCAGAATTACGTGTTTCTTCGCAAATGTCTTCCGGAAATTATCCAAAGGGGGTGGGCGCTGCCGACTCACCATGTCAGTTCCTCAGAACTCAGAGGTGTGTGGGGATAGAGTCTACACTTAGAAAGAACTGTCTACGTGGCATCAACTCGATTCTGCCGAGAGATAGAGAGAGGCTGGGACGCATTTCCAGAGAGACCTGCTCTGCCGTGTACACAGGACTGCACACTGGAGGCGTCTCCCCAGACACCCGCTCAGCTCTGAGGTGAACGGCTTTGGGGGGCTTGGACATCCGAAGACCACTAACTCTTATCCGCGAAACACTGACTGGACAGAAAAAATGGGAGGGAAAAAGACAGCCCTGCACCTGTGTGTCAGTCAGATCCTTGAGGCAGAGGCCGAGGTCCCGCCAAGGACAGAGGCCGGTACCCGGGTCTGTCCGGTTGCTGAGGCCTGTGCAGCTGCATAACTAGTCCCGAGGCTCCGCGGGGAGGAAGTGCAGTGTCGGTGGCCCCCCGCTGGCCGCCCCCCACGCTCCTGAGTTGTTTGTTTGTTCTGTTGTGGTCCACGGGCAGCCAGAGCCCCAGTTCCCTCTCTCGGGACAGCAGCTAATCAGCGGGAAGGAAAAAGGGGGGTGTTACCACTGACAAGTCGCTTCCACGACTCCCAAAGCCACGTGGTCGCCGGGAGCGTTCAGGAACGCAGTACGTGTTTGCTTCTTGAACCGTCTGCATGGAAATTGGAGGACAACCATCTGCTCTCCGTTGCTAGATTTTGTAAAACAAGAAGAAAAAAATCCAAATGCTCCCAAACAATGCCATGTTTGTCCCCAAATGAAGGGGCCTCAGGCCTGCAGTCATGCTTTCTGGGGACTTTAATGTCCCCTAATTCCCTGGAGACACAGTCGGCCGGGTCCTTTCTGGCCAATGCGGGGCCCGGGGCCTCATGGAGCAGGTGCTCTGGTCCTGTCCCTCTGCGGTCTCAGGCTGCCTTGTCTTCCGCCCTCCTCACCTCTCACCCCACCTGACCTTGCCCCTCCAGCCTCCCTGGACTCACTGCACCCACACCTCCAGCCAGCTCCCCACACGAGCCTGAACCCTGGGGACCAATGTGCTGCGTGTCCGTGGCCAGCGTCCCCGTCATTCTCGTTTCCCACCCCATCCAGCCGCAGCCCGGTCCACGCTGGAACTCACGCCGGGCAGCTTCGCTCCTGTCGGATCCCTTCCCCCCAGAAAGCTCCCGGGGCTGGGGCTGGACTGGAGATCAGCAGGCGCACGGGAGGTCTCCCCATGTTCGCGTGGCAGGGAGCCGGGCGAACAGCGTGTGACGCTAGATCCATACTGGACGTGGCAGGGAGCCGGGCGCACGGCGTGTGACGCTAGAACCATACCTGGCGCGTGGCCGGGAGCCAGGCGCACGGCGTGTGACGCTAGATCCATACCGGGCGCGTGGCAGGGAGCCGGGCACACGGCGTGTGACGCTGGATCCATACCGGGCGCGTGGCAGGGAGCCGGGCACACGGCGTGTGACGCTGGATCCATACCGGGCGCGTGGCAGGGAGCCGGGCGCACGGCGTGTGACGCTAGAACCATACCTGGCGCGTGGCTGGGAGCCGGGCACACGGCGTGTGACGCTAGAACCATACTGGACGTGGCAGGGAGCCGGGCGCACGGCGTGTGACGCTAGAACCATACCTGGCGCGTGGCCGGGAGCCAGGCGCACGGCGTGTGACGCTAGATCCATACTGGACGTGGCAGGGACCCGGGCGCACGGCATGTGACGCTAGATCCATACCGGGCGTGTGGCTAGGAGCCGGGCGCACGGCATGTGACGCTGGATCCATACCGGGCGCGTGGCAGGGAGCCGGGTGCACGGCGTGTGACGCTGGATCCATACTGGACGTCCGCCTGGGAAGACCTGCGGGCTAATGACTGTGGACACAGCGGTCACCCTCTGTTGGCGAGTCAGTCTGTCACACCTTCACCCCGCAGGGTGCTTCCGGGGTCAGAGTCCTGCCACCAGCGGGTGGGGTGTGGGACTTGGAATAAGGGGAAGCTGAGCTCTGGTTCACGGAGGGGCACGTGTGTCCCTGGACACAGGATGTTTCCTCCGACCGGAAGTCAGCAGTTACCCTCGGTCAGAGACAAGGCCCGGTCACCCCACCGCACACCCCATGGCCCGGCTCGGAGGGGCAGAGCGCTGATCGACAGGAAGAACACCGGACCGTGCGGAAGGGCATTTCGGTACTGACCATGAAGCCACGGCCTCCCCTCCGCCCTCAAAGCTTCCGGACTGTGGTGGCCGCGGTGAGGCGCACACCGGCTGGGGGTCGCATCTCAGCTCCCACACGTGTGCTGTGCGGCAGGGAGCAAGCTGGTCCGCCTGTCTGGGCGTCAGTCGTCCGCAGAACGGTGCTGACCTCACAGGGATGTCAAGACAATTAGATGAGTTCATACGAGTACAGTGTCTGGTGTCAGAGAAAAAATTATTCTGGCACTCGCTCAAGCGGCAAGAGGACTCTGTCAGGGCCCTTCCCCAGGCGTGACCAGGCAGTAGTGAAAGATCAGGCCCCGCTCCAGTGCAGTGCTGACAGGTGGGGCTCACAGCCAGAGGGGGGGGCCCCAGGTGGGAAATCACTAGTGAAGGCATCAGCGTGGGGTGTTCTTGCTGAGGGTAGGCCAGGGTGAGTAGGTATCAAGGTGGGGAATCTCTCTAAGCTGACTTGGAAGTATCTTGCTACAGCTGAACTAGACAGGATGGACAGGACCAGGCCGGGGGCACAGGACCGGGCAGGGGGGACAGGACCGGACAGAGGGAACAGGACCAGGCCGGGGGGACAGGACCGGGCAGGGGGGACAGGACCAGGCCGGGGGGACAGGACCAGGCAGGGGAGACAGGACCGGGCAGGGGAGACAGGACCGGGCAGAGGGGACAGGACCGGGCAGGGGGGACAGGACCGGGCAGGGGGACAGGACCGGGCAGGGTGACAGGGTCGGGCAGGGGGCCAGGACCGGGCAGGGGGACAGGACCGGGCAGGGGGACAGGGTCGGGCAGGGGGACAGGGTCGGGCAGGATGGACAGGGTCAGGCAGGGGGACAGGGTCGGGCAGGGGGACAGGGTCGGGCAGGGGGACAGGACCGGGCAGGGGGACAGGACCGGGCAGGGGGGACAGGACCGGGCAGGGGGACAGGACCGGGCAGGGAGGACAGGACCGGGCAGGTTGAGGACAGCACCCAGGGCCGGGGTTCAGTCTCAAGTTTGGTAAAGGAGAGTCTGTCACTGGAAACAAAGTCTAGTGGACACCAGACACTTTATAAACATTAGTCATTGTCATCTTTAATATGCTGCATAGAAC